AATACCACGCCGATGGAGTACAACGCCATAGTCGGCCAATTGCGGTCTGCACGAAAGCCTTCCTTGTGATCTTATATAGACGCTTTACACACATGCCAAATTACAACCGCCATTGCTGACCTTCTCTTGTCTTACCGAGATGCCGAGCAACTGAAACGGTAGTTGACGATCCTCTACAAAGGCCGATGCTTTAGAAAAGGACACAGTTGAATCTAATGTGGCAATAACCTGACCTGCTATACTAAAGATGAAGTGAAATAAACGAAATAAGAGGAAACAAAAACTGAAGGTCAGTTATGGCGGCGTCCATGCACAGCTGCTGCAAAGCGCCTATAGTACTCGATTGGAACGACCCTTCGGTCGCGATCATGAAGCATGTTCTTAAGCTGATGCTGCCAAAACTCCTGAAATGCATACTCAAAACGGTTTACCCCGTAAAAGTTGCTCGCACAAAAGTAAAAAAAAAAAAAAAAATTGCGAAATTTGAAGTTGGTTTTGCTGCAAAATACGCCTGTCGGCACTCAAAGCCTACCTATACGCGGAGAAGGATGATGAAGCACGGGAAAGATGGCCGTAGCCTTTGATGAGGGAATGTGTTGCGGAAGCGGTGACGCCGCGAGGCGAGGAACAAGCGATGAAGGCGATGAATATTGGCGCTTCACACAAACAAAAGAGATGATTAGAAGCCTTAAGTTCAGGTCAGCACTAAGTGTAAACACTTCTTCATGTAGCAGCTAAGGGACTAAAATGATTTAGTGGGAGCGCGTAATGCTGTGGCTGCATAATTCTCTAAACGAGGGCCTTCTCGAGCGAAGCTCTCCCAGGAGCTTTTAATGGTTCAATAAAAGGCTTAAGTGGGGCAAAATGAGACAATTTTTTTTATTTCAATGGTATTTTTTCTATTTGCTCGGATATTAACAAAAAAAAAAAAAGTCACAGCATGGGGATATTTTTAGATGACTATAGACTCTATGCTAAGTAAATATTACTTAACTAGAGCCAAAGAAATACTAAACAAAGCTACAATATCTCAAAGTCACACAATGTATCGTTTTCTCCCACCCTGTGGGGCCAAATGAAACAATGCCTTTGAAGCGCATCATTTGGTACGCCAAAAAGGGTGGCAGCAGTGGGAAGGGAGTGACGCTGTTGCTTGACATTTTCAAGAGCTTTCTTCGTGTCACTCTCGCGTATATCAAGCCCTCGTTGTTTTTCTTTTATGCGTTTGAACCCTCCTAGACACCGGGAGAAAAAAAAATATGGCTCAGGAGCAATCAGGAGACTCGTGCGTCATTGACATGCGCGTCACAGAAGCGAGATTGTCGCGTTTTGCCCCGAATTTCATTTTACCCCACCTTACCCTACATTTTGAAAAGTGAATTATGTAAAAAAAGACAAATGCATTTATGACATAGCACACGTGCTTTTTGCACAAACTAGCGCTTTGTTTTAAACGTGTGGACGGTTGAATAGCTTGGATATTCGATGTGCGTGGTTATTGTTGTCACCATTGAGATTCTTATTTCAGGAACACAAAGAGGGCAAGAGCAGTGTTATGTCGACGTCACGTCGGCCAACCAATTCTGTACATGTGACATATGTTCTTTCACGTGTTCACTATTCTATACTAGTCGATACAATAAACGAGTGTTCATTATCCGACTGCGGGCCCGCTTACAGTTACCTCCCAAAAGCGTGTCACTTTATATCACGACAAGCTTGGGCATACACTTTACTCATCAGACAACAGGAATTACGGTCGTTTATATAAATTGCGATACTCAAACGGTGTGGCTTACCGCGAGACAGCACCCGCTTATTAAGGCTGAATCCCGCGAACGGAGAAAAAAAACAACAACAACCAAGTAATGCAATGTAAATTCAGACAATTAAAGTCATACTGTCGGCAACTGCTTTGATGTAGAAAGCTCAAGCCTCGACCATTAAGTGTCATCCGACATGCGCATATGTTTCATTTCCAAAAGTATCTAACCCGGATCACTGAATGACAGAAATATTATAATGTCCTATTGAACAATTCATATTCATCCAGTAGACCTTCTAAGCTTAAACAAAATTCAAACAAGCAAAAAAAAAAAAAAAAAAGCGGCTGATAAGTTGGATAATTTGATGAGCGTAGTCAAAGCTACAAGGGCGAGGTAGCCCGCGCTCCTGGCTTTGAGACATCCATTTCTAGCGCGAGCGCTCGTTCTGCGGAAGAACGCTTCGTAGCAGGGACCTCGAGCTCTCGCGTGCCATTGAGTGCAGTATCACCTTAAAGGAGCGATGCAACAATTTTTGTACTGTGCACAAATACCGCTTAAAACGGATCCCTAACGTTAATGACCTATGAAACACGCATTCGTTTTTCACCCCACGCAATAGAAGTCCCAGAGAAAAATGTAAGAAAAACGAGCAGCGTTCACCCCCTCAACTCGCAGCCAGAACAAGCGGCCACGTGATCTGGAGCCGATTATATGCCGCCAGTGTCGATCATAGCCACGCGCTGGGGTTGGCAAAGCGCAGGACACGCGCCAAGTTCCAGACATTGTTATGGCTCGGCTATTGTCGTCGTTGCAGCGATTGGACACGGGTCACAATCCGAATGCTTCTCGAGCTAGCAATTGTCACGAGCCCAAGTCGAGTGCCCACGCAATGGTGGGGTCCAATCTATGAACCGCATTCAAATATCGTCACTTGGGTGTACTGCGATCCCCGAGTTACGTCATCAAATTTTGCAAAGGAGAGATTGAATGAAAATGATCGCTTTTGTCCTTGAAATTACGCCGCAACAAAGGACTTTCTTGGCCAATGGCGTTGCGTGTGAGTGTCCTTGAGTCCCAGGTGTGCCAGTCAGCTCGTGTAGAGAGAAAAACATTCCAGTTGAATATCGTTGCACAGCTCCTTTAAGTTGAGGGTGAAAGTAGTATATACGTTGTCTCGCCCTACAAAGAACTATGGCGCAATCTGTAGGTCACTAGACCTTATAACGAACCAGTTAGAAATCACGCGATACATGGCCACGACGAGCGTATCAGTGCGCCGTTCCCATAAACTTGGAGCTGGCTGCCAGTAGCATTTGGTGGGAGTCCATCGCACACGTTGAGGCGAAGAGTATGGATTTCTTCGCTTCTTTTCAGCGGGTTGGAATACATTTGGCTCCGTCGTCGTGTCTATAGCAAATCGCGTCTCGCTTGAACGAACCGTGTCGGATCCGTTCTCCGTGACCGGAGAGCCGGTGAATAAATAATTCAGCAGCATCCCCGCAAGGCCAACAACACCACCCAGAATAATAATATTAATAATAAAACAAAAGCCGGTGTACAGTATAGCACTTTGATGCGATCCTGCGGCTAGATGGAGCGCAGACACAGATTGGGTTGTGGGCACTAACTTACACCGTGGGTTATGGGTGCTGCGTGCGCGTTCGACTGGCCCTCGAGTCCAGTCAATGCTTCGAGGGACGCGCTCGGCGTCGGGTTTGGACAGTACCGCCTAGAAGACAATTGGCCTGCGCCTTGGCCCCCCATCAGATCGTCGATACTTGTGGATTCCCGCAGCGGCGCCTAGCTCGACTCAGCGTTGCCGCCTGTGCGTATGCGGAGCGCAAGTTTGTCTGCTTCTTTTGCAGCGACTGTGCTGATGTCAGAACGCCGAGCTTTGATTGGCTCTGATCAAAGGATGGTGGGTAGACCTCAAGACAGCTTGCTTTGAGGTCTAGCCACTATTCTTCAATCACAGCCAATCAGAGCTCGGCGTTCTGACATCAGCACAGTCGCTGCAAGAAAAGCAGACGAACTTGCGCTCCGCGGATTGCAGAGTCTCAGAAGTGGGCCCTGGAACACGCCGACGCAAGACGCGCGGGTCTGCCTCTTTGCGGCGTACTCTCGTCGAGCTTTGGCAGGTTTTGCCGCTTGGGGGCGGGCTGGAGATCCCCTATCGATGACGTCATTCGCAGGCCTTTTCTCTTTTAGGTGGATGTTCGCGGGTTTTGACTATTCTATAGGTGTCGCCAGAAAAAGCATAGCTTGTCCGCGGCGAGTGCGTGTTGGCAACTTCAGATGAGTCGCGACGCCATCCCATGGAAAAAAGACGCGACTTTTGGAAACGGGGGTGCTCGCGCGCCCGTCGAAATATGCAGCGAAGACGTCCGCGGCCCTGCCGGCGAAAATGTACAACGGAGTAACGGGGATTAAAGCACGATACGAGTCGAAGTCGCGGGGTATGCATCCTCTCCAATACACGTCCCCCGCGGACGAAAAAAGTAGAAAAAAAAGAAAAGAAATGTCGAGTCGTTGAGTTGTGGACGCATGCGCGGCGCCCAATGTTGCGCAGAACAGCGCAATTTCTGCGCACGTGCAGACCGCGTTGTTCGACCCAAACATGGCGGCTCGCGGAGGACGAGTAATAAAATGGTCTATGGGCGACTAGCACGTAACCAGGTGGAGCCGCCCCTCTCTGCACGACAGCGCCGTCTCTTGGTGCACGTTTTTGCACCCTTGGCCATCTGTGTGTCCGTATCGGGGGAAATTCGACATGGTGCGAGTAAAAAGTAGCTCCAAGGCACAACGCTAAACTTAGTTTGAGCACATGTACCCAATATGGGATATACTTAAAAAAAAATTGATCTCTTATTTTACGTGCGTTCAAAAAAGTTTCCTATTGTATCATGGAGTCATCCTTATAGAACATTTCCCACGATTCCGCAAAGCATTCCTTGGGACGTGATAACCCCAGTGTCATGAAAGCACCAGGCCACACCTTCGTTCGTTCCACGCCAGCATAGGGTTATCTCACGACATGTTTTTGCAATTTCGGAGCGGTTGCTATTTAGCTGCCACGCGGCGGAGCTTTTATAATGAAACTTTAGTGCAGGAGCATGGCCACCGAGATCCCGGGCGCATACACCCGAGACAGCAACCCCGTGTCGTTCCCTGCGGGCGGGCTGCCAGCCAGACAATGAGGGGCAGCCTGCCAAGTATACACTCAGTCTCACGCACCTGGATGACTCGCATGTTGAGTCCCGTCTCCTGCGCCAGCTGCTCCCTGATGTGCCTGGTAGGCTTGGGCGTGGCGGCGAAGGCCGCCTTGAGCGTCTCCAGCTGCTTGGCCTTGATGGTGGTACGAGGGCCCCGGCGCTTGGTGCCACCCTGGGCCTCGTCGCCGGCGCCCGGGCCCCCCGCGCCCTCGGGGCCCGACCCGCCGCCGCCGGAGTCCGGCCGGGGCCCGCCGCCCCCCGCGCTGCCGCCCTTGGTCGGGCCCCCGCCGCCGCACGCCGACGACGGCGAGATGACGGCCGGGGGCAGTTCGCGCTCGACGCTCGAGTCCCTGTCTTGGTCGCGCAGGAGGTCTGGGTCCGGGGCGCTCCCGTCCGCGGGGTCGTCGAGGTCGAGCGTCGCGTCGCCCGGGGAGCCCGTGGGTCCCAGCACTGCGGGGGGAGGGAGAACACAGGGGTCTGGTCAGCCAGGACGAAGGCGAAGGGAACAGTCGGACACACCTTACAGTGAACCTGACACACTACGAATGAGAAACAAACGTGCGAAAGTTTTAAAGAGACAATGTTACTTGAGGTCTAGTTTGGGGCCTGGTCAGGTAGAGGGCTAGGGCGAGCAAAGCGTTGAAAGAAAAACAATTGGACACAAATTCGCCTTGCTATGAACCTCATAGACGGTACCAATGAATGAGAAACAAACGTACGACTCGAAAACCTACGATGTTCTAATTCTCTGCCGAACTGTTGTAGCCTCGTTTGTTTCTCGGTGGTTATTTTAACCAATGCAGCCACGTCCATTTTATCCCTTTATTTTTGAGACCCTAATCTAGATACCTCTGTGTCTGCAATAAGAATTATCTTCAAATGAAGATTGTAGGGAGGACTACCAGTGCGGAACATCTGTGAGACGTTGCACGAACAACGCGCCATTGCAAATAGTGGATGAAAAAGGTGCAAATCTGAGGGAACGTTAGGGTAGCGCTTGATTCCGAAAGCTACAAAGCTTTGGGGAGCCACGTCATACGTTCATCTTTCTATACGTGTTCTAAGATACAGTACATGTCCCGTAACTTGCGTTTTTAAGATGATTCCATGTATTGGTATGTGTTTTCGAGCCTTCGACTGCGCTTTGTCGTAGGAAGAAATAAAGCAAAGCAACGTAGATGTAACTATAAAGCAAAAACTAAAAAAAAAAAAAAAAAAACTTTTTACGATATAGTAAAGTTGTGTGCGTGTACTTGGGGCTTAAACCACTCGATTTAAGTTCGACTACGTGCCTAAAGCCACACTGAACACTATGAGCAAATGCACACATTCTACTTGTGTTGCTTTTTGCAATGTTCAAGATCGTACATGTCGCCTTGGCGAGCCCTTATATACAACGGGCATGGTGGCGGGGGACCGAAGGCGTGGGTATACAACTGAGAAGAAAATAAAACACTTGGTAAAAACAGCAAGAACGGACGGTTTATTCTTTGACGTTTACGTCGGACTCCGGACGAAACGTCGAAGAATAAACCGTCCGTTGTTGCTGTTTTCACCAAGGGTTTTCTTTTCTTTGCAGTTCTACATATATACATATATATATATATATATATATATATATCTTCACACATTTGTTTAAAAGAAACCGTGAAAGTTACACTTATGCGGTTTGTGCAGGTGAGTTATACGGCCAGGGGGACATTAGGTGGGTGGCTAATCTTTGCGATTATTCGCTAATTAATTCAAACTCGTGAATACACTTCTTCATCAGTGAAAATAGACATATGGTTCCAATTAGCAACTTACTGAGCGGCATTGAAAATCACTCAATCAGTAAATGTTCCGAGAGACTTTGAGCGCGTGAGAAGCGTAGTATAGTGCACTAAAGTTACCGCTCGTGGAGCAGGTACAAGGCTAGCTGTTGCTGAACGCGGATGATTATATTATCATCGCGTTCCGCCACTGGGAGCTTTGCGCATATATATATATATATATACATAACTTCTGGCTAAGCCACTGGTATCGTGGAATGAATACGACGGACACCCGTTCTCAGCACGTATCCAGAAATAGTATAAGGGCCCGTTTACACACTTGCGTTTAACTACGACCTACTGAGAAAGACCGGCTTTTAAGCCTTCCGCGACAGCTTAGGACCGGCTGCGCAGCAATTCAGCCGGTCCTATGCCTTCACAAGAGGCTTTAAAACCGATCTTTTTCGCACCAATCCGAGGGATGACTAATGATCAGAAGGTGTCAATTCAGCGTTTGAAACGGCCCTATGGACGGCAAAGGCGAATGGATCGATGGGGTGATTGATTGATCGTATCACATATTGGTACATCGATGGATGCGTGCATAACCGTAGTGATGGGGTATGCACATAGTCAGCGAGAGGCCCTTGCTTGTTTTTAGTTTCATGAGGGAGACGCTCCAGAAGTTTGTACAATCAGAACAAACTCCATGAACACCGCATGTAGTTATCGATATTCTAAGAAACTTAGGGTGTGGTCAGCACCGCGCATCTGTTTATCGCTTCAAACAGATTTCGGCATTGACTATAAAAACGCCGAAGTAAAAAAAAAAAAAAAAAACGGCTTGCGTTTTTTAAGGTTTTAACTGCTTAAAACAGATTCGCAAACGAAAAAAAAAAACGCCACATGATATTATTTTAATGTTTCCCGCCCTTTTTTTGCCGTTTCCCGCCCTTTTTTGCCGTTCCGATCTGCCCCGACTCGACTCACCTCTTTCTGTACTCAAATCGGTACCATTTTAGGAACATTTCGGTCGAAGTCAGAAAAAGAAATGAAGGGGTTAGGGAGATCAGTGACGGGGATTAGTAGAAAAAAGAGGCGGGCTTACTTGCGTACGGTGGCGGGATGTGGCATGGCCTGAGCGGTGGACCCCAGGCCGGGAACTGAGGCTTGAGAGCCTTGTCCGGGCCAGCTCCCACGCCACCGCAATAACCCACGTAACCTGCGGGGGAGAAACAAAAAAAAAAAAGAAAAACAGCGAGTGAGAGGTGAGACTCGGAATACCAGTTGGCGGTCGCCGGCAACGATTGTTGGACGTTTTTGACGATGGGCTCTCCGGTACGATCTGCGCATGCGCTACAGCAGAAGACTCGCGCACGCGCAGCCCCTACCGGAGGGTACATCGTATCCGTATGGGATGTGCGAAAACAGTTCCCTAAAACTTCCTATTATCCCTCGATGAGCCAATTGCGCCCCCTCCCTTTCCACCCCCAGAGAAAAAAAAAGTGCAGATAGCAGCGCATTTACTGTGCGTGATGGCTGTAGTTTGTGATAGGAAACGTATGCAAAGGCAATAATCACCATAACGATGCATTTTTCTTTTTTTGCGCAGCTCGATTGTCTTGATTGAATTGTATAGCGCCAGCTGCGGTCGGGTTTTAAAGGTAAACAGAGAATGTAGAACTCCTCCGGGACACTCCCGGAGGTTCCGAAATGAAACGAGTGATTCATTCGAAAACAAGCGTTCATGGTTGATGTTATGCGTTCCTCTCTTATATAAATGTAAGCGATTCATCAATAAAAAGAAAAGAAGAAAAAGGGTTAAAGTGGTTCGGAAACATTAAGTAATAAAATATGTAATACTGTAAACAACCTCATTTTTACGAATTTCGCGAATCGTAGATAGGTCCCGCCAACGATTTCGGTATAATGTAAATACATTGGAATCCATATTGAGATCCCACCGCGTCACGAAAGTTAGAACCCGCGAATTATCAGAAAACCTCACCTTTGACCTAAATCGGGAAATATTGAGCCCGCGAAAAATAAGTCATCTACACTACTCAGATACGGCCTCGCATCGTTCATAGACGAAGGTAGGTTAAAGTGCAGTTCAATTTAAAAAAAAAGGCAGCTAAAAAAAAAAAAAGTGTGACGAACGTTTACGTGACAGGTATCATACGAAGGCTCTCGCGAGTTGCGAAGACGATTCTCGATTATAACCGAAAGAAAACAACTGAGGCGAGATGACGAGGGACAACTCGAAGAAACGTATGCAGACACACCAAACGTCGACTTACGATAAAAAAAAAAAAAAAAGCCTACGAAACTACAAATGTGTTAGTCACTGCCAACTTTGGAAGCGGAGGGCATGGAGGAGGAGGAGGAGGAGGAATAAACTTTATTATGCCTGTATATTGGTCTCTGGGTGGTTCCCTTAGTCCAGGGCTCCAACGCTGTCGGCTGTCAGCCTCGCCCGCTCGATCAACTTTAGTTGGTCAGCAGCAGACGAGCTGAGCAGTGCGGCTTCCCAGTTTTCAGGAGTGGGATCAGGGTGGGAGGGGGCGATGTTAGGGTGAGCGGTGCAAAACCACGCGGTGTGTAGTAAGGAAGCATATTGCCCGCAGTGCGGACATTCGGCTTTGTAGCTTGTAGGATAGAATTTGTGCAAGAGAGCTAGGTTGCGGAACGCTCCTGTCTGGAGCTGGCGCCAAGCGACCGCGTCCTCTCTGCTGAGATTTTTGTGTGGCGGCGGGTATTCACGCCTCTGGCCACGATGGTAGGCCCTGATTTCGGAGTACCTGTTTGGCACCGGAATAAAGTATGCACCTAGCCCTAGTCGTGACGCGGCGGGAGGAGCGGCCCGGAGGGTGCATGCTCGGGCCTCGGTGTCAGCACACCGATTGCCTTTCACCTCGTCATGTCCTGGGATCCATATAAGTTCCACTGTGGGGAAGCCCTGTAGGTCTCTCTGGGTGAGGACCTTGAGTGCCTTCGGCGAGACACGGCCTGCTAGGAAGCGACGCAGTGCTGCTTGTGAGTCGCTCATGATGGTGACGTGATCTTTTCCGAGCCCAATGGCCATGGCGATGGCGAATTCCTCTGCAATGGTCGTATTAGACGTGCGCAGCGACGCCGTGATTCGGGTTCTCCCAGTTCCATCCACGACGCATATTGCCGCTGCATTCCGTTGATAGGCATATGTGGCCGCGTCTGTGTACAGGATATCAGCCCGTTTGCCATACGCCTTTTGGTAGAATCTTGCCCGAGCCTTGCGGCGTTCCGCGTGGAGCGTCGGGTCCATGTTGCGGGGGATCGCGTGCACCTTGATTTGGCTCCAGATGTGTCTCGGGAGGGGTGCCGTGGTTTCTTCTCTGTCCCATTGGAAGGGAATCTTGAGTGACTCTAGAACCTTTCTGCCCGCAGGGGTTTGGGCGAGTCGGTCTCGCTGAGTGGCAAGGTGGCTGTCCACCAGCTCCCTAAAAGTGTTGTGGACGCCGAGCTTGAGTAGCTTCTCTGTGGAGGTGTACGGGGGGAGTCCGAGGGCCGTCTTATACGCTTTGCGTATGAGGACATCTAGCTTGTCCTCGTCTCCCTTGGTGAGATTGAGATAGGGTGTGGCGTAGATGATGCGCGACACCACCAGGGCGTTAACCAGTTTGATCGTGTCGTCTTCCCTGAGGCCGTGCCGCCGGCTGGCGACCCGGTGCATGATGCGTAGAATCTGGGTGACTTGGTTTTGGAGGAGTGTGAGGGTATGGGTCGCCTTTCCGTCCTCCTGGAGGTGGAGACCCAGGATTCTGGCACGCGGAACCACGGGGATTTGAGAGCCGTCGACCAGGAAGACTTGTATCTCGTCTCTGGGCTCCGAGTTGCGGCGGGACCTTGGCGTCTTGCAGACTAGGATCAATTCCGATTTGGCTGCCGAGATATGCAGGTGACCCTGGCGTAAGTACCGTTGAACTTTGTCGACTGCCGCCTGAAGTGCGTCCTGCTTCTGTCCGTCAGACCCGGACACGGTCCAAATTGTGAGATCGTCCGCGTACAGAGAGTGTTTGATGTGCGGGATGCGTTCCAGAATCGGGGGCAGCCCGCTCATTGCCAGGTTGAACAAGGTTGGCGAGAGCACCGCCCCCTGCGGCGTGCCCCTGTTGGGGGTGTTGATGACGTCCGTGCGGAGGTCACCTGCACCAATGGTGGCTGTCCTGTTCCGTAGAAAGTCCCGCAGGTAGTTGTACATTCTGGAACCGCAATTGGTGACTGTCAGGTTTCGGAGGATTAGCTGGTGGCCCACATTATCAAAAGCTCCCTTGACGTCCAGGGCGAGCACCGCTTGGGTCGTCGTCCTGGAGATGGGGTCGAGGATGTCCTCTTTTAGCTGTAGCATGACGTCCTGGGTTGACAAGTGCTCTCTAAAACCAAACATGGTGTGCGAGAACACGCCCGTTTCCTCCATCTGTGGCTGCAGCCGTTTGAGGACGACCCGTTCCATCAGCTTTCCCACGCAGGACGTGAGGGCGATTGGTCGCAGGTTGTCGAGGCAGAGCTCCTTCCCAGGTTTGGGGATTAGGATAATTTCCGAGTGTTTCCACTCATTGGGGAGCTCGCCGTTCTCCCATACCTGGTTGATATGTTTTAAGAGGGTCTGAACCGATCCCGCGTCTAGGTTACGAAGCAGCGTGTTTTGGACGCGGTCCTCGCCAGGTGCCGTATTACGGCCCAGGTCTTGAAGCGCGCTCCATACCTCTTCGAAGCTGAAGGGGACGTCGAGTTCTGGGTTTGGCTTGCCTTCGTAGTCATGATACACCTCGTCCGGGGACGAGCCGATGTACCGTAGTTTGAGCTGTTCGAGGAGGTCCTGGTTGGTGCCGGGGAAGTCGCGCACAATTTTCTGGAGGTTCTGGCTGGTATTGCGTTTACTTTTGCTAGGGTCCAGGAGGTGTCGCAAGAACTGCCACGCGTCCTTGGTCCCCAGTTTTCCCTGGAGATCGGTGCACTTTTTGTTCCAGTTGGAAAGCGCCAGTTGGGTTGCGTACTCGAGCGCTTCCGTCGTGATTGCCGCGATCCGTTTCTTGAGCTTGCGGTTTAGCTTCTGGCGCTTCCAGCGCTTGATCAGACCGTGCCTTGCCTCCCACAAGTGGAGCAGGTGCCTGTCCACCTCGGGAGTGTCTGTTGTCAGGTTGAGAGTTTCCGTATAGGTGTTCTTGTCGCACACTAGGCGCTCGGTCCAGCTGGCAAGGGAAGCATCCTCGTGCTCTCGCTCGCTGTGTGTGGCCGTGCGTGCTGCACGAAACCTGTCCCAGTCTGTCAGGGCTTGTTTCCGGAGGAACTTTTTTCCTGGCGAGACGGCGATGTCCACTTGGGCTATGGCGTGGTCGCTTCCCAGGTTCACCTCGAGGTTTGACCATTCCGACCACCGTTCGCATCTCGTCAGCGCGAGGTCCGGGCACGTGTCGCGGGTAACACTGTTGCCCGTCCTCGTGGGCTGCTCCGGGTCGGTCAGGATAGAGAGGCGTTGTTGGCAGATTAAGTGGTAAAGTCGGGTGCCCTTGGCCATAGAGCGAGTGTACCCCCAGGCCGAGTGCGGCGCGTTAAAGTCGCCTACTATGAGGAGCTGGTTCCGTGCAAGTTTAAGCGCGCGCGCAAACAGTTTGCTAAAATTCTCGTGCCTGTTGCGTGGCGGACTGTATACGTTGAGAATAAAGAACGAGGGCCAGTGGCGTTTCTCGGGAATAATTTCTATAAGCACGTGGTCTATGCTCTCGTCGCTGAGTTCGTGCATGCGAGCATTTACGTGGTTTGCTGCTAGGACTGCCACGCGCTGGCATATGCGAGGGACAAGCACCTTGTAGCCCGAAAGTGAGGGTGTCTCGGTTCCAGTTTCCTGGAGTGCTATTATGTCGGGGGGTTTGTCGAGTCCGGCAATGTACTGCGCTAGGGCCCCACGTTTGTTGCGGTACCCCCGGCAGTTCCATTGCCAGACTCTAGTTATGGCCGCTCGGCGTTGCTCTGCCATAAGCGGGCTCTGCCATTTCTACTGAGGGTGTCTACCCGACTGGGCGTGTCGGGTATGGTAGCTCCTGCGGACACCACTGAAGTACTGGTGGTAAAACCCTTAATTTGAGTAGAAGATGACCCTAGCATCCCTCAAGAAGAGGGAGCACTGCTTGGATTATGGTAGTAAGTGTCTTTGCCCAGGTTGATTCGATGCTTTTAAGTAGG